GGCGAGTGCCTGCAGGAAATGCTCTCTTGCAAGCAGCACTCAACATTTTGACATAGTCAAAAGGCTTCAGAAAGTAGGCGGAAAGTAAAGCATGCTGTTCAACGGGCTTGTAGTTACCTCAGAAAACCCTTCTCCGACTTCTGCCAGCTACGCCCACATTCGTCTGGTTGGAATGGCTAAGTCCGACTGGAGCCTGCCAACTCAACTGACGTCAGTTTGGCTGCCTGCATGCTCTCTGGACCACTGCCGGTCCCGCAAAGGTGCAACTGCTCCAGCAGAGACTTCCCCTTGAGAGNNGAGAGACGTCGCAAGCGCTTGGCAGACCTCCAGGAACACAGCTGTTTCTGCAACACCGATTCAACCGCACCCACACCGAAGTCGGAGGGAGAGCAGTCACGGTCAAAGGTGGCAGGAGTGCCAGCATCTCTGCACGTCAGATTATCGAACTAAGCAGTTTTATCATAGAAGGGTTGCTGCTGTTGACGAAATGAAGGTCGAGAGAAGCGCTTCAATGCCACGGAGCGCCTACCTTCCGACCATCCTTCATTCTCTACCAAGACGAAGTTTGCGCTGGCACGATCTGCAGGCATGCCACAACAGGATACGACTGGCGCCTTTGCATCTGTCTGGCAGCCGTAGAATGCAAGGCTCTTCAGCATGGCCCGGCCCTCCAAGGCCAGCATCACGGCCTGGCCCACGTACTCTCAGCTCCGGCCCAAAGCAGCAACAAGGCCTCATGCCTGGATGCTATGGCTGTGAACTGTGACACCATCCCCATACCGTGACATGACCGAAGCTCTCGAAAGTTGCCAGAAACATGGCATCCCAAGGGCCTCCACGTCTCTCACGTGGCTTCTACGGCCGTCGTCGACATACAACACCTGAAGCTCAGACTGGCCCCGAATCGCTGCCGCCAGCTCCTGGCAAAACAACACTCCGCTCCCACAAGCACGGTCAAGAAAGAGTTCCTACCAGGAAGCCTTGCAGAGATCTTCCACCTGCCAAATGACCTCTCGCACTCGGCCAGCTCGGAGGGCCTGCCGTGCTGGCTTTGACAGGGAAGGCCCCCTCAGCCCTGAAGACGGTGAGCTCTTGCCTCGGCAGCTTCGAGGTCAGAAGCAGAGGCTATCACTGCGAGATCCATCACCTTGAAGCGTTCCTGGAGTTTTCTGGCGACCTCCGAGCACACGGCCCTGCTTTACAGAGGCTCTTGCAGCAGGCCTGGCCTGAACCTTCTCGGC